TGGTTACTTTTAACCTTAATCTTTCCATCAACATCCTGCATAGAACCGCATGTTAAAGAGAAGCATGGTTGGCACAGGCTAGCAGAGTTAAAATCACTTGGGATGAGAAATCTCTATGGTTACTACTTTAAAAAAAAAATCATTTCATTCTGTATTTTGGCCACAGATATAAGTAGCTAAACTCAATCTTCTCCTAGGAAACCAACAAGTCAGTAGTTGTCCTGACAAGAAAAAATTTTCTATGCAGGAAAGAACACACCCTACCTTGTGAAGGCTAGCGACCTGATATAGCCAGAAACTGATGTTAACTTTGTGAGGGGCCCACCGCAGTGGAAACTGGAAAGAAAAGGCTGGCCCCAAGAATATGTCTGAGTCATCAGACCTAAACAACAGTGCCTTCTCTCTTGCGGGATTTTACCAAAAGCTTTACAACGATACACTAAGTTCTCTCCTGTTACAGAAAAAAAAGCAAAAAGGCCTGGGATTGCCCGAATTTTCAGCCCACAGCAACCATGGCAGTTCTCTTGAACAGCCAGAGCACGCTGGAAACAGGCCCCCCATGCAGCCTCAATGAAAAGAGCTGAGAAGTTACTAGTGAAAAGCTCATTATCCTCCTTTCTTTGAAACCACAATGAAACATCTTTTTCCAGAGTCCCAGCGACAGACTGCTTAGCCCAATCATATCTAAACTGGTCAGTTGGCTTTATAGAAATTCCCCTCTGAGCAAATCACATTTCCTAGCACTCAATCCTCCCCAAAGGACCAGGAACAGCTTAGAAATGGCTCCTTCAAGGCATAGAACACCGGGATTTGTGCTTTCTGATACCACAAATCTTAAATGTCTTCTTTAATATACAGACATAAGTCAGCACCAGGTAGCCCTGAAATAACTGTTATTTGCCCACTACCCACAGCCACTGCACACATTCCACAATGACAGCGGTTACAGATAGTGCTGAAGACCCCAAAGTAAGGTGGCAGCCATGCTTCAGGGAGAATGGCCTCTTCTCTAAAGAAAGAGAAGTAAATCAGTTTTTATCTCTTAAATTAAAATCTATGTCACTACTCTGCTAAAAACACCTCCGAAAGCTCTCTTCTGCTTTCAGGAAAAAAGTCCAACCAAGCTCCAGAACCACGTACAAAGAGGCCCTTCTGGATCTGGTCCCTGCATACCTCTCTGGCCACATCTCTTTCCACTCGGGCCTGCCAAACCCCCTACCCTCTAGCCAGGAGGAAATACTGTAGCTCTTCCAATGCTGGACTCTCTTCTCTGGCTGCCTCCTTGCATGTGTGGGCGTTGGCCCTACACTCTACCTGCCCCTCCCAGACTTACTACTGCTTAATTCAACTGGTCCTTTGAATCTTAATTTAGGCATCACCTTCTCTACAAGACTGTCTCTGATCCCAGCCATGGTACCCCATCTATGCCTCTTCCAAAAAAGTGCTGCCTAATCTGACTCCTCCACTGGACTGTGCCCAATGCCTGGTATGCAGCAGGTATTCAATGTTTACTGAAACCTTCCTACAGGCTTACATACCACCCAGCATCATTGATGGGGTAATGTTCAGATGACTAGCTCAATGAAGGTAGAAAGAAAACATAAACTTGAATTCTTAGTCCAGGAGACGTGTCGTCCTTCAACTTACTTAAGATGCATTTTCTTCCAATTGCTACGTGACTTGCTCTTGCGAAAAGGATGAAAGGTAACTTCCGAGATGCAAGAAAATTAGAGACGTTGCCAATGCTTTATAATAACTACCAGTCCAATTTTGTTCATGTACCATCTACCTTCCCCTAGGACTGGGTTAGCTCATTATCAACAAGAAGGACTAGGCTGTGTGTGTGTATATATATATATATATATATATATATATATATATATATATATATATTTGTCTAAATAACAGGTGAATATAAAGCTTCAAACCATCAGGAACTGAGCAAATATTGATCTGATATTGGCAGGAGCACAAAGATGTCTTCCAATACAAAAGGCTCCATTTGTCCCTTTAGATATGCTTAAGACTAAGGATACAATTCAGAGTTTGCATCAACATTAATTCAATTTTACATTTTTATTTCTCCCAAAGGCAGTATATTTTCAAAGAATCATTTCCTTGGTGAAGTTTATGTTGTATTTCTTGACTTGTCCTTTGATTGGGGATGTAACTCTTTGGGAGGAAACAGGTAAAGGAACAATTTTATATGAGGCAAGTGTTCATCATACTAACTAAAGGCAAAAAGCTGCCTATTTATAGAACATATGAGGTGTTTCTCAGAGTCAGTCTTCCAAAAATGACACAATAGGACTGTACTGAGTATCGGTATTCTGAAAGCATGCAGGAAACAATGACCTCAGACGTACTGACAAATAAGAGAAAAATTCTACCATGATGTCAAAAGTTTTTTTGTGGTAGAGGACATGGAGCACCAAAAGCCTATACTTTCAAAGATTAAAACTGCCTCAGGGTTACATAAAGTTTGAATGTTCACCTTAAGAATGAGTCAACCCCCATTTGCTAGTCCTCTTGCCACCCAGGTTGGGTGGTTGGTTTATTTATTTATTTTGCAAGAGGGGAGTAACTTAATGCTCATTACCATATATCAGGAGGCAGAGTAACTTGAAGCTAAGACTTTTAAATATGCAACTGGCTGCATCTGAAAGACATGTACAGTCAGTTGGCTTCTCAGTGATGTGAACATAGGGCTTCATCCCCTCCCTGGCTCCCCCTCCTTCAAAAGTGCACATTTATAAGACCCTCCGTGAAGTTTGAAAAGGGAATCAAATTCATGAGAGCCTTCAAACATTAAGCCCAAGGTAAACATATTCAAAATGAAGTTAATGCCCAACTTCCAAGTCTTCCCCAGGTTCCCAGGTTGGGAGGCAGAAAAATGCTAGAGAATGAACCCACCCAGCTTTGGGGTCAGGCAGGCTCAGGGCCAATCCCCAGCTTCTCCCACTTACTGTGTGTGACCTTAAGCAAGACAGGTTACTCCCTAAACTCAGTTCCCTTGTTTATAAAAGGAGGATCATGTCTCTTAAAGGTTCAATTCAATAAAAGGTACATAAGGGAACTTGCATTTTGGCAGTTACTGCTCATTATGTCAATGGGGCAAGGTTTGGGTTCCATCTCTGTACCTGGAACTTTAAAAAGGCGTTATTTACTAAAGTAAAAGATAGTAGAAAGAATGCTGGTTACGCATCAGAAAGATCTAAGTTAAACCTTATTTATTCAGCTGTAAAATGCAATGCTGGGCTAACTGATCCATCTCTAAGCAACTTACCCCACCTGAAAAACTAAAGTAACTCCCAGGTTCTGAAGCCTACATTCATTTTTGTTCATTTTCTTATTTCTTTAACATGAGGAACTCATGTCCCTTAGAAATAGGTGAGGAAACACAAAGAAAAAGACAACGTGCTCAAGAAATTTATCATTTGAGTCACACCCAAAATGTAGGCCACACTTTTTTGCAAGGGGCAGGCATGAGGGGTGTCTGAATGATTCACTAACAGTGGTAGGTAACAAACTCCTCTACCGGAAATTCTGCATTCTCCAGCACAAAGTCACTGCAAAGCACACTCACTGCCTAGCACACAGCAGACGCTCAAAAATGATTCTTCATCGAATAAATATCAAAATGACACCTGTTGCTCCCTTTAAAATTTTTCAATTGCTCTCCTTACTCCAGACAAAATCCAAGAAAGATGGTTGTCACATAAGAACTGTACTAAATACCTTCTGAACGAATTCATCCTTTATTCCCAATTATGCTAAGTGGAAAAACAAACACTGGAAAAGAAATGCTGAACCATCAAAAAAATAAATAAAATCCTTCCAAGCCAAGTGTCAATATTCCTATACAGATACACCCACCACTGCCAGGGTCAGTTTCTTGGTCTTTTTCGGAGCTGACAAGCACCCTCAAAGGCGCTTGGAGATGAAAACCCAGCTCCTGTTCTACCCTTGTACCTTCAGCTATACCCTCCCTATTCCCAACAATTAAACCTTTAAGGTGGATGTCACTTGAGCCAGCACTGAACAGACATAAACATGGGGAGGCCAAAAAGACATCTCCCCATCTTCACAAGGATCACCATAGAACCACAAACTCTGAAAAGACCAAATTAATCACGCACCTAATAGAATTGGCTGCTCCGGCTTGGGATAAACTATTTTGGTACAGCTTCTGGAGGCAAATAAAAACTCCAAAAAGCAAGTCGAACTGTCCATTTCCCCCTCCTCTCCCAGGAATGCGGCTACTTTATACTGTATATCACGCACACACTCCCCGCCTCAACCCCGGCGAGCATACTCCGAGACCCTCCCTCCGGGATCAGATCGTTGGGTGGTCCCCGGGGAGAAGGGCTGCCCAGTGGCCTTACGGTGGTTCTGGCAGGGTCCCCGGGAGACCTGCCTGCAACGGGGCTCTCAGAGTAAAACTGAAAAAAACCCCAGGCTCGCCCACCGTGGCGGATGGCGCAAAGCGGTGGGGGATTTTAGCAGAGAGGGGCCCAGAGACGACTCAATTTCCCTTCCTGCCCTTCTCTAGAGCCGGGCATGCAGCCCAGGTCCGCGCACCACCCCCACACCCGACACACACACTGTGTCTCGCTCATCAGAGCACATGAACTTTAAAATGGTGCCTCGGCCCCGGGGCGGGGGGGGGGATGTCCGACGGGAAAGGGAAAAAAAAGCCCGACACGAGCAAGCGGGCGCGGGGACTAGGATGAGGCCTTGGGTGGCGGGTGGGGCGCTCCGGGTGACGCGCACGTCGGTGGGGTTGGAGGGAGGCGCACCGGGCAAAGGTGGAGGGAGAAATGGAACGCGGCCCCTTTAAGAGGCCTTCACAGCGCTCAGGGACCGGGGACCTCTCCACTACCCCGGCCCGGCGTGTGGGGCCCTTCCTTGGGGAGAACCATCCCCGGACCCGCTCCCCGGAGGCTTCCCTCGCGCCAGGTCCCTCCCGGCCCAGCCCCGGGGCGGCGGCTCCTCCTTACCCCGCTGTCTGCCGCCTCCTCCCAGCTCTCAGCGACCTCCTCATCTTCCATCTTACTCGCCGCTTCCCTCCTCCCCCAACCCCCTCCACGCGCCTGCGCCCTGATACGCGCCTCCGTCGCGGGCGCCGGCACGCAAGGCTTTACTTAATGGACCCCGCCCCCGCCAAACACGGAAGAAGCTCCAGACAAGGGTCCTAGAGCGTCGAGAAAGCCATCTTGGAAGAGGGCAGACAAATTAAAGTTGCCATTTTCCTTAATGGCAACGTGTTACATCTCACGCTGAATGAGAGTCCATGTGAATCTTCGCCTTGAGTATGGGAAGTGTGTTCTTTGGAATCATCTTTTCTAAGGGCAGGCAATTGGGGGGAAAAAAATTTTTTTTAAGTGAGTTGTAGTTTTCATAAAGTGCAAATTATGGTTTTTCAAAATTCTAAAAACACTTTATATCTCAACAAAGGGTGAAAATATCTGCTGATGCATAAACATTTTATTATTTCTATCTGATAGGGTGAAAATGATTACAGTATTTCCTGCTCATAAAGCAGTATTCCAAGCATCTATCAATGCTGCTTTATATTCTACGTGAGGTAAAGACATTACTGTTATTGGTAATATTGCACCTGAACTGGACAACCAGAAAAACTAAAGTTCTCCTGAGTCTTTAATGACAAATACATACATTAGCATTACCTTAAAAATGTATGTATGCATCTTTCTGAACAGTGTTCCTGTTTTATTTTTGGTTTAAGTGGAGACCTTGGGCTTTAAAAAGTTCGACTTTGGACACTTCCAACTTCAACAAACTGATCTTATGCAAGTTACTTAATGTTTCTGTGCCTTAATTTACTCCAAGTGTAAAAAAAAGAATAATAATAGTAGTAGCTGCTTCAAAGGTAGATTGTGAGGTTTAAATGAGTTACTATGCTGAAAAGCTTAGAACAGTGCTTGATCCATAGTAAGAGTTATGCCTTAAGATTTATAATTTTCACCTCTCACCGTCTTTCCCAAATCACAAAAGCAGGGGAAAAAGCAAACACCATGTGTTTTTATTCTCACTGACATGTTCCTTGTTCCTGTAGGCCTCTCGGTATTCAAAACATGCCATTCAGTAGTGTTGCATTTGGCTGCTATAATCAAGTTATCTGAATTGGAATGTGTTTTTTAGCATGTCATTAATTGTTCTGAAGGAACAGCTTCCTGTTGTGAAATTTTGCCATTTGTATTCCTAATGATTATTATAATAAATTGCAGTCATGTGTTGTTTATTGAGAAGTTAAAGTGACATGCTACTAATTCTCTGGTTTCACCATTTTCTATCTCTGAAATATCACTCATCTCTGGGTCTGTCCTCAGTCCACTGTTCTTATCTAGATGCTCATGGTGTAAGCCACCCACTGAATGCTGAAGACTCCCAAATTTGATTTCCAGCCCTGAACGGACCTGGTGTTTCTGATTCATACGATAGGCTTCTTACTAGCATCTCCACGTGGATATTCATTCCACTAGCAGCTCAAATTCTCTATGTCTAAAATACAATAGACTGACCAACCTCAAAGATAAAGATTTTGTTTTGTTCACTCTGGATCTATATTTACTTTGAATACAGTCTCCTGTGAACTAGTCTTTTAAGTGAATTATCCTGACTGAGCCTTGGCGACAGCAAGGTGGATGAGACGGTCTATCAGACATTACTTAAGTCTCACACTTGAGGTGTGATTAGTTTTTCATAAATGCGACTGACTGGCAGTAACGACTCACAGTAGTTTTAGGCTTTGTAGCTATAGCCTGTTGCCAGCAGAGGGGGATAGTTTCTTACAATAGTTTATATTTGGCAATGAGCCTTAACAAAAGAATTAGTTGGGTATTCCTGGGACTGGATTTTCTAGGAGACTCAGAAAGATAGAGAGATCTTGGGAGATTGTCTCAGAAAGCTACAAAGGAAATAGCAGTCAGGAGGCCAGCCCTAGTTAATCATATGGGCCCCTTGTGACCTTGGGCAAGTCCCTTCTTCTGTAGAATGAAGGGATAGGACTAAATAAACTCTAAAATTGAGGAAGTGGTGGAGGTTTCTTCCTCCAGGGGGAAAGCCCAAAAATTGAGGCAGTGGCATATATAGATATGGGCAGAGACCCTAAAGCATGAGCTTCTCCTTCTTGTGAAATATGCTTGATATGCCATTGATGTCTGAAGCTTAGAGACTTACACTTAGAACAGCCAGTACCTTTGATACACCACATAAAACATTCTGATATGTGATGGGAATATAAGAGCAAAGCCCATAGTGAGAAAAGTTTCCATCTAATGCACAAGCTGGGGCTATGTGGACAGTTGTGTTAAGATATAAATGGCAACTTACCAACATTTAAAATGTACTTTTGATCCAGCAGTTGCATTTCTAGGAAATTTCTCTGTGGATACATTTGCTCATATGTAAATAACAAAAGTACAAAGATATTCATTGCTACTTTGTTTATAGTCACAAAAAAAGGGAAACAAATTAAATGTCCATCATTAGAGGATTTGTTTCAAAAATATATGATACATGCATACAAAAGAATAGAATGCAGTTTGTTAACAAAATTAAGATGGTCCTAAATATGCTGACATCAAATGACCTCAAAGGACTATAGTTAAGTTTAAAAAAAAAAAGAAGAAGCAAGGGCCAGCCAAGTGGCGTGTTGGTTAAGAGCTGGCTTGGGATGCCAGCTCTGAGCAGCAGGACCTGGGTTCAGATCCCACATTAGGGCCAGTGACGCTGCGCCCTCTATAGCTAAGATGGTGAACAACAGCTTGGCCTGGAGCTGGGCTTCTGTGAGTCACCTGCGACAGCATAGGCTGCAGTGGGCTGCCATAAAGCTATAGTGAGTGGCTGGCAGCTGGTGTGAGCTGCCAAGAGCCATCGTGCGCGGCCATCCAGTGGCCGGCGAGCAACTGCCTCACCCGGGAAGAGTGCAATGATAATACCAACATGGGCCAGTGAAGCGATGTCCTCCACAACTAGACTGAAGAACAAAAGGATAGCAACTTGTGTGTTCCCCTTCCCTGATTCCCCAACGCTGTTCCCCTCCCCCAATTCCCCAATAAAATCTTAAAAAAAAGCGCAAGATACAGTGTGTATAATTTGCTGCTATTTTTAAGTTTATTTATTCATTTATATGTGTGTTTGTGTATCTATAATATATTTGGAAAGATATCAGGAAGTTGTAACAGTAGTTACCTTGGTGGAGGAGAGAAGTTTACTAAGTAGCTAGGGGACTGGTAGGATGGGCTTAATTTATATTATATGTCTTTTTGTACTTTTTGAATGTTGTTCTAGCTTGCTTATTCTAAATATATATATATATATATATATATATATATATATATATATGAAATGAATTTCGGTGATTGATTAGTGGACTCTAAAGGAAAACTTTTTATTTACACTTAGAGAGGTGACAGGCACCCCTCTCATTCTAGCCTCACCCCTTATCTCCTCTTCAATTATGTCCCAATAGGCCTTCACCTGCACAGAGATTATTCTAAAACACTATTTTCATTACAAATCTTCCCTACCCCCAAATCTCTACAACGTAGGAGTTAATATCCAGTTTTCCTCCTGATATTCCTGACCATGTGTAAACTGACCCCAATCTTATCTCCTCCTGTTAGTCAGAAGCAACATTATGTAGAGTTCAAGAGCATAGTCTTTGACGTGAGACCATCTTGGTTCAAACCCTGCCTGTGACCATAGGTTGAACTACTTAATCCCTGTGTGCTTCAATTTTATCATCTGCAAAATAAGCACAATAATGGCACCTACTTAGTAGTCTTTGGCAAATAATAAGATTACACAATAAACATTAACTGTGATTATCGTTAATGTTGCTTGAATAATACTTTTATGCTTATCATAATTTTATATTGATTTATTTACTTGTTTATTGTCTGTCTCAGTACACTGTAGGGGCCCTTCATGAGGACAGGGACTTTTGTTAGTTTTATTTTAAAATATATTACTATACATATCACATGATTTGGCACATAGTAGGTGCTCATTAAACACTTGTTGACTGAATGCCCTATTAGTTGTCAAATTCCCAGTTCATTCATTCATTCCTCAAATATTTAGTGAGTTCCTACCATGTGCCAATCTCTATATTAGGTGATAAAGTAGTGAACAAAACAGACAAAAATTCCTGTCTTTTAGCTAGGATTTAGGGTAGAGTGATTCTGTATTTGAACCTGTCCTGACATGATCCAGCAGTTCCAAACCTAACAGGGCATCAGAATCCCTAGGGAGCTTTAGAAAAAGTCTGAGGCGAAGTCTAAGGTGGGCTCTGGAATTTATTTTTACAAGGAGGCTTTTAATAGCTGGTCCAGTGTTTCTAACGGTTAGTTCTTACAGGGTATTTTGGAGGGCGGTGGGATTGGTCACAAGTTCTGTGACAATTTTTAAGCTTGGGTTTTGAATGACATGATTTTAATATTTCCTTTACCATTTGCAATTGCCTAGTTTCTCTTCTGCAGTGACACTTCCTAACTGAAAGACTTGAGTTTCTTAAATCAGTGTTTCTCATGGTGGGATTCCATGAGTGTATTCCCAGAGGTCTGTGCATTATTCAAGTTTGAGGAACACAGATCTAGTGATTTATAGAGTAAGGATGACCCAAGTCTGCTCAATAGCACTTTGCCTTCCCACCTTGAGAGGGGACTTGGGTTCTAATCCAGTCCTGTGATCCAAGAGATATACCAGAAGGTCCATTTTTTTCCAGGGTGGTGGGCTGGCACCTTGAGGTTCTCTCTCTCTCTCTCTCTCTCATTTCCTTAGACCACAAGCTGTCCGGATGGGTTCATGAAGATGCTCACCTACACACCAGTTGCTCCCTTGGAAGGGGGATTTTGCTGCACCCCACTGCCTGGCCTGGTGATAGTGATAGTGGAAAGTACAGGAGCTTGAGAACCAGATATGTCTGAGTTCGAATCCTAACCTGCCTCCTCTCCCTCAAGATGTGTGGCCTTGGGAAAATTATTGATACGTCTCTGTGCCTGTTTTCTCATCTGAAAAATGGAGCTAGTGACGAGTCACATAGTGGTAGCTACAGTTAAGAGAGGCTTCACTTGCACAACCAAGGCACTGAGTTTCCTTCCTTCAGGGGATACCCAAGAGCATTTTGAACCGCCACAGACCTCTGTGCTCATCCGGCCCCCGGAGGTACAAATGCGTTAATTCCTGGCTAAACTTCTATCATGGACTCAAGCCATTGCCCCAGGCACTGTGTAGGAGAGTGAGGGCCGACCTGAGGTCGGCTCTAGAGACTCAAGGAAGGTGGGCGCAGAAGCGCGAGGTTTCTTCACTCCAGCTTCGCTTCCCCTAGCGGCGTTCCATCCTCCTGAGAACCTCCGCCAGGGACCACGCCCCTTCCCCAAAGAGCACCGCCCCCAGGCTTCCCCGCGCGGGTCTGCCGAGCTGACGTGCGCGCGCGCGCGTCCTCCGCGCCGGGCCACGGCGCATGCGCATTCCGCGGTGTCTTCTCCCGGCCAGAGCAGCAGTGGCGGCGGTGGTGGCGGCGTTTGAGTAGAGGAAGATGGCGGCTCCAGGAGGCTCGGGGTCCCGCCAGCTGTGAGGACCCCTGAGTGCGGCAAGCGAGGCCTGAGGCGGAGCGCCTCTGCTCTGGCCCTGTCCCGGCTACCTCACCATTGTCGTCAGTACAGCTAACCCGAGAGTGTGGCGCGGGCTGGGCCAGGTGAGGTCTCTCCCCCTCCTGGGGCCGCGTCAGGGAGCTGGCGCCTCCTGCCCTTTATGCCTCGGGCCCGCAGCGGGCAGTGGGCGCCGCGAGTCCGGCGCAGGCCCTGCCCCCGTGCTGGGGTCGGGGCCGGCTGGCCTGGACACCTTGCTGTCGTCATCCTCGGCCTTCCTGGGTTGGGCAGGGAGGACAGAGTCCCTTTCCAGCCAGCCCTTGGGATGGGAGTGAACCTGGCTCCTCTTCTCAAGCAAGGAGGTTCTCGTCCCCTCACCGGGGCCACGAAAGGGTGTGTGTCCAGGGCAGTGATGGCTGTAGGGATGTTAGGTAATCTTTCACCAGCCCCCGAATCTTTAACGCCGTGCGCGAGAAGCTGGAGTCCAGTGCTTCCAAAACGGGGGCTGCGGCGAGGGGCCAGCATCTCTGAAGATGCAGCTGCAAAGGAAGGATTTTGGAATTGGCCTAAAAAATAAAACACAAGCAGCCTTTCCTACCCTTTAGTTTTTTGAGCGTTCCCCAGCGAAGTGGGAACTGGGAATCTCCTTGGTTGAGACAGCAATCCACGTTGTCGCTGTGGAGGCCTTCTGGTGAGAATCGATTGCAAAAAGAACGGTGGAGGGTGGGAATGAATTTATAAAAGAAGAAAAAAATTGTAAGATCTTGATAGTCTCAGCAGAGTGAGTAACTTCGGTACTTAATGAAGTCCTCGTTCGTTTGAAACCTTTGGATTATTAAGATTCGGAATAGCCGATTGCTTTTGTCTGTGAAATCTCCCAAATTTTATTAGGAAAATAAAAGCTTAATTTCTTAATTTTGCCTTTGGACTTTTCTCTGGTAGGATTCTGATGTTTCTGGATGAAGATTTAGACGGTTCTCATTTGCTGGCGTGGGCCTTGTACTATGCTTGTTGTTCCTTTTAAAGAACTTTTTGTTGTTTAAATGCTAACTTAGAGACTAATCTAGTTTCTCGCAAGAAGGGAATTTGAAGCCTTGTAGTCTTTTTCTTGAGCAATGATGGCTTCAGTTGCATTTGTGCTATGGGAAATAGTAGAGGTGATGGCTTTGGGTTGGACACACCAAATGCCTTTCTTTTGTAACTTAAATTTTTTTTGCTTGTGATTAGGAATAATGACATCATAGGACAAGGAAGATCTGGAAGGAAGTACCATCATTTAGAATTGAGCATTTAAAATTCAGTCTGTAGATTTTACAGTGAATAGTGATGCTCTGTGTCAGATTCCTAACTTTGAGCATATTCATGTGTATAATCTGATTGGGTGTCCTTTCATTTGTATGTGTCATTTTATACTCTGTAACTGTTTGCTTTTGACAAGCCTGGTGTAAATACATTACTCAGTCTACATTGACCAACCGGTGTTTCTACTTCAAAAAGCTTTCAATTGTTAAAACGACAACTGTTTAGTTTAATAGTAGCTAATTCTTTGACCATTTTTTTCCTTTTTTAACGCTATTTCCATGAGATTTGTAGATTTTCTTAGTGCTTTTGCTAATGACATATGTAAACCTGAACCAACAACTCTGTCATAGAAAAGTGGAGAGCCACTCTATATTTCAATTTGCTAATAATAAAGAGTCACAAAATTAATATACAGTAAAACATTTTGTTTCTTGGCATAATGTGTTGCATTGTTGTGCTAAATCATCATTAGGTATTGATGCAACTTGATGACACCCATGACATCATTCACTCTTTAGCGTTTTGCCTTTTGTATTCCTTCCCTTCCCAGAGTCACAGAAAGAACAGGATCAGGAAAAATAGCTTAGGATGCTTCTTCATGTCTGATTTCAAGAAGAGCTTTCGTCCAAAATACTGCTTTATGTGGTTAAAACCCTTCTTTAAAATTCAATGCTTTCTGATTCCTACCTATTATGAAGAGCTAGCACAGAAAATGCTAGCAAAAGCTCTGAGTTTTACAATAATATTGAGATCCCAAGGAGAAGTTATCACAAAGATCAATAAATACATGATTATCTTTGTGATTTCAGAGTTGTGTAGGTCAGTGAATTAACAACTCTTTATAAAACCAGAAACCATTTGCTTAATAATGCTCTTGTTAATGTGGATCGAAAGAGGTAATGTTAGGAAAGTGCTTAGTAAAATAAAAGGAAAATTATGTAAGATTGATTGTTCAGCAATCAATTTTATGAAAACACCTACCTAGGACCCTCTGTGTTGGGCATTTTGGGAATAGGTACTAATGATTCTAAGACCACAGCTTTTGTCTCAAGTTGCCTACAGTCTGGTTGGAGAGCCAGATAAGGAAGCCAGTTAAGTACTGTATATTATAGTCTAGGACGTGCACTGAGTCCAACCAAGAAAGTCAAGAAGGTTTCTTAGTGCCAGGATAGCTTTCCCCAACCTTCCTTATTCTGCAGAGAAATCGGCCTTTTGTGAGTGACTTGCTTTTTATAAAAACTTAAAAAAATTCTGTCATGAGTCTTTTCTCCTTTTATTCATTCACTGTCATGACACTTCCCACACAGTATGCCCCAGTTATGGTTTCTGCATTCTCAAAAATCCAAGTCTTGGGAGAACCTTTCTGCGAGTGAGTCACACATAGACAACTAACACAAACATTGCAGCTGCAATTAAAATATCTGAGATTACTGAGTGTTGTTAACTTGAAAATGATGATGCTTTTGTTTTTGTTCTGTAAACTGGCACAAGAAGTGCCGTATGATTTTTAATTTGATCACATTTTTCATGTTTAGTTGTTAGTTGCTTAGAATGTTGTCAATGAGTGGTTATTAGTACTGTCTCCTTTCTCCCAATATTAAACAAAGTGAGAGGGTCCTTTTCCTTTCTGGGTGAAGCTGACAGCTTAAGCCAGCACTAAGCTATTTTATAGAATCTATATGTATTGAGTTTCCTTAACATCTCTGAACATCTTAACTTCTGAACTCCAGGACAAGTTCCTCATCTTAGTGCTGTGGTAATTTTATAATTAATTTTCATGTTGGTGCCTATATTGCAAAAATTTTATGAGTTTTGGGATTAAGTAGAATCTTTAAGTGGTGCAGTATTAATTGAACACGTACAATGTATGTCTTCACTGAAAAGGAGTGCTTTAAGGTTGTGGTTGACAGAAAAGTGAAGGTGATATGTTTGTTCATTTTCTGTATTATGACAGGTTGTTACATATATTGTAGAAGGATATGACCTACAGACAAGTCATTTAAAAATTTCCCAGTATTAAGTTCATAATACAACTTATTTTAAAAATGGTTTCTTAGGACATTCTTCTAAATGGCTTGTAAAGTTATGACTTAATGGTACTGCTATAGTTTAATTTTGCATTTTCTTACTCATGCACTTATTGGAAAGCAAATTTACCTCGAATTCTGAAATTATTAAGTTTCTACTTTTTAATTTATGAAGTTTTCTCCCAAGTTTTCACTTAATTTTTTCCAGTGTTGCTTTTCTGTGTTTTGCTATCTTGTGGTGCTTTGATATGCACGCGCGCGCACGTGCGCGCACGTGTGTGTGTATAAATCTGATAAATGTATAGCTATTATTTAAAGTAATAGTTACTTGAGAATTTTTATTACTCCGGACAGTAACTTAACTTAGTAACTTGTTTTCTCTACTAGTAATATATAGATTTGAGGTAGTTCACTTAATTTCTATAAAGGCAAACAAGTTTTAGTTTTAGCTAATAATATTCCCTTAGAATATTTAATATTTAGGATACTTTTTATTTCAACTACTCTAGGGAATTCACTAGTATGGGGGACTCTTCCAGATTTGTTTTCTTTATTCTCATTTTAAATCTTTACTTTGCGTTGTTTGGAGAACAAGGAATTTTTTTCCAGAATGAACCTCTTGGTGTATTGTTTGGAGAAAGATTAATGTTAATTATGAATTTATCAATACAGTTTTTATTAAATGTGCCTCTCCCATCTGCTGGTTTTTCAAATGGAAGTCAAAGAAAATGAAATTTATCCTTCTATTTCAGTATTTCTTTTTTACAACTACTCTTGCTATCTCTTGCCCAAAAGGAGCAGTGTTTTGTCGTTTCTTGGGATCAAGCAGAATTGTGTTTGCAGTATGTTCTGCAGGACCACTTTCTTAGCTTTTGGGTTTTTGTTTTTGTTTTTAAGATTTTTATTGGGGAGTTGGGGGGATGGGAACAGTGCTGGGGAATTGGGGGAAGGGGAACAGACAAGTTGCTGTCTTTTTGTTCTTCAGTCTGGTTGTGGAGGACGTTGCTTCACTGGCCCAAGTTGGCACCATCATTGTGCTCTTCCCAGGCGAGGCAGATAGTCGCCGACTTCTGGACGGCCGCTCACTGCGTCTGCTGGCCGCTCACGCTGGCTGCTGGCTACACATGGTAGCCCATGGCAACCCACTGCAGCAGGGGCTGCAGCCTATGCTGTTGCCGGCGACTCACGGCAGCCCAACTCCAGGTTGAGCTGTTGTTCAGCATCTTAGCTGTGGAGGGCAGTGTCACTGGCCCTCATATGTGGGATCCGAACCGGGGCCCTCTGGCATCCCAAGCCAGTTCTTAACCATCGCGCCACTCGGCTGGCCCTGTTTTGTTTTGTTTTGTTTTTAAAGATTTTATTGGGGAATTGGGGGAGGGAACAGTGTTGGGGAATCAGGGAAGGGAAACAGACAAGTTGCTGTCCTTTTGTTTTTCAGTCTAGTTGTGGAGGACGTCACTTCACTGGCCCATGTTGCTATTGTGATCATTGTGCTCTTCCCAGCTGAGGCAGATCGGTTGCTGGCCACTGGACGGCAGCTCACAGCAGCTCACGCTGGCTGCCGGCCACTCACGGTAGCCCACTGCAGCCTACGCTGTCGCCGGCAACTCATGGCAGCCCAGCTCCAGGTTGAGCTGTTGTTCACTATCTTAGCTGTAGAGGGCGCAGCATCACTGGCCCTCATGTGGGATCCAAACCAGCGGCCCTGCTGCTCAGAGCTCTTGCTCCCAACCCAACTCTTAACCAACGAGCCCCTCGGATGGCCCTTCACTTTTGTT